ACAAAGTTCCAAATAGAGTAGTCTTAGAACAAGCTGGAATTTTTAGCATATATACTTTACTGAAACAGAGATGTCTATCTTGGCTCGGGCATGTTGTGAGTATGGCCGATGGTCGGATTTCAAAAGATCTCCTGGATGGAGAAATTGTGCAGGGAAATCGCCCCAGAGGGAGACCACAGCTGCCATACAGGGAGATCTGCAAGAGGCATCTGAAGGCCTTAGGAATGGACCTCAACAGATGGGAGACCTTGACATCTGAGTGTTCAGCCTGGAGGCAGGCGGTGCATCATGGCCTCTCCCAATTTGAAGAGACCCTTGTCCAGCAGGCCGAGGCAAAGAGGAAGTCACAAAAGCAGCAAAGTCAGGGAGCTGGACAGGGGACAGATTGTATTTGTCTTCAGTGTGGAAGGGATGGTCCCTCTCGAATTGGCCTTCTCAGCCACACCAGACGCTGTTCCAAGCTCCTCATACAGAGCACGTGACCATGGTCTCTCGAGACTGAAGGAGGCCTAATCTAACTCACCACCTCCCAAGCGCATTGGTCCCATTGTCGTGCTGCTCTAACAGTTAAGAAGTTTTTCCTTACTGCACACCATGACTGCCATTAATGGGTTTTTCTTGTTACTCGTTTCAAATAGGGTTTTATGAACTCAGCGATGGAGCTTCCGGCTCACTTTCCAACTCCTCCAACTCCGTTTTCAGCGAGTGTCTGTCGAGCGGCCACTCCAGCACTTGCTTCTGCAGCCCTTTGGATGCCTCCCTGAACAGCTCCGATGGACGTCCCAAGTCCGCAGGTACAGCAAGGCTGGGAATAGCGGAGGGTCCCCTGAGCTTGGAGATCCTCCAGCCTCTGTGGATGAATCTGGGTGTTAAAAGTAGAACTCTGTTAGTGGAGGTTTGCTGCCTGCGATACATATACAGTGTCTTTTTCACTTTTGCTCATGTGCCGGAGAAGGCATGCATCCAATCAGGCAAGCCACGTGGTTGCTTTGGGGAAGTTCCAGTCCTTGATTGGTCATGTGGCTTTTCTGCATTTGGGGCTAATAGCTGTGCCGGTGAGGATTCTGGGAGCTGTAGTTTGAAACCCAAACCTTTTCCAAAAGCCTTCTCAGTGGCCACCATTTGACAGGAAGGCTAGATTGACCCTCTCTTTGCTGTCCTTCACTGGCAAGCAAGAACATTTTTATTTTTATTTTCAAATGTTCTTATTTTATTTTATTTATCATTGTAAAACACTTAGAATATTGCCTCACACTGATGGGGCAGTATATAAATAAAATAAAATAAATAACATTTAAACAAACCTCCGGCCTGTGATCAGGACCTTTTAATGGCTCGTCTTTTTTCTCTTGTGTGTTTTTATTAATTGTTTACAATTTAAACTTTATTGCTTATGCACACACCCATGTATGCGTGTGTATGTGTGTGTACATATTGTAATTTAGTGTTGTTTTTTTTAAGCAGTGTGTGTATGTGTATGTATGCTTTGGGTTGGTCCTAGGGGAGGAAGGCAAGATATAAATAAAATAAACAAATAAAATACAAATAAATAGTTGAGCTCTGTTCTGTTTAGTCTGAAACAGCCAGTTGAGAAACTGCCTGGAGCCGAAGCCACTTCTGTGAATTGCAAGGTGGGCAGTTTCTTGACCTGCCCTTTAAGGAAAATATTTTAAAATTCTTTTTTAAAACAACGGATGGAGTTACCTAGACTACTGCTGATGCTACATTACGTGTTTTAAAATAAGTGATGCGTTACATCAGCCGTCATCTACGTACAGTTGAAACATTTCTCCCGAGCAGAGATCCTGAAGAGGCTTTGCTTATTAAGCCACTTCACCATATTGGCAGATTGGAAGAGGAAGGCTTGCTTTGGATTAGTTCCAGAGATCACATGTCCTGATCAAACGGAATGCTCGTACCAGCACCAGAAAAGCAGAAGCCCCCTTGACAAGGGTCCAGAAAAGTATGGGGACGAATGCTCTGGGGCCAGTCTGTGGCGCTCTGGCAAAAAATGTCATCTGATAGCCGTCTAACCACACCAGTTTATCCCTGCAGTGCTTCAAACCGCGGGCTAAACAGCCCATGTAGCCGTGTTCTGAGTCCCCAAGTATCGTCTTGTTTGGATTTTGTGGTTCTACAAAGATTTAGAAAAATATAGAAGGCAGAACTTCATTTTGGTTTCAGGAGGGTTAAAATCCTTTCGAAGGTTGAGTTGCGTTGCAGAAGTTCATGTTCCCATTTAGGATGGAATATCTCCTTGACTTCTTTTTCCTTTTACTGCCTTTCAGATCTAATTGGTTGGCTGGAATATAACAAAGGGGGCCAGCCTGAAGACCAGACGGTGGGGATGGTCTCGTCTCCGGCCACGCCGTACTCGAATTCCCTTGACGTGCTGGCAGATATACACCCAAAATATCAGTGTGACTTGGTGTCCAAAAACGGGAATGACGTATACCGTTATCCTAGCCCCTTGCATGCAGTGGCAGTGCAGAGTCCTATGTTTCTCCTTCCGGTCCTCAGCAGCCCTCCGCGGGAAGGAGAAGAGAAAGCCAGTGACAGCGTGGTCAGGGTTTGTCCTGGACCTGATCTGGACACGGTGAAACCGGGACCTTCTGTTCCCCCACACAACTCTCAGGCTGCACCCTGTCCGGCGACCAGCAGGAAGATGGATGGTTACATCTTGAGCCTTGTGCAGAAAAAGACCCCTTCAGTGAGGACTAACAAGCCAAGAACAAACCTGAACGCAGACCCAGCCAAAGGGATTTTGAGACACGGGAGTCTGTGTGTTCGGCAGGTGGCGGCCGTTGCCCAGAACAACACCTCGAGCCTTAAGAACTTGAGTCAGGCCTTTCCGTCCCCTGGTGGAACCGCTGCTCTCCTGGATAATGGTGCCTTTTCTCCCTTAAAGCAGCACGCAAAGGAAACGGAGCTTCTGGAGACCCAAAAGACAGCGCTGCCTCCAGGCTTTCCACCAAATGCTAATCATGAGCTTCCAAGCAAACACCCCATAAGGAGTGTCAAACCTCCAGAGGCGACGCGGTGTTCTGTGGCGACCAAGGCGGATGTCATGAAGGAAAGTGGCCAGTCCTTTGCGGCTTGTCCTAAAGAAAGCCCCTGTCGCCATACAACACTCCTGAAGGAGAGCAAAGCCACCCAGCTCCCCAAAAAGATACTGTTTAAAAACAATGGGACGCAGGCAGCTCTCTCTGATCCTCCGTCTCAGGAGCCCAGGCTTCCCCTGGAGTTCAAGAATGAAGGGTTGTCTCCTCAGAGCCTGGAAGAGGGGTTACTGGTGAATGCCCAGTACATACCAGCTCAGCCACAAACAGTCAGGCTCCACAAGGGCAGTAGGAGCGTCAAAATTCTCAAGAGCTCCTTGACGAAACACAGGCCCCATCTTGTCACGGTGCTGGAAAATGGGCCGCCGCTTGGAAGGGAGAAAGGAAAATCTGTCAGCAAAAAGTGCCGATTCCCAGAAGACCTGGAGACGCTAAAAAAGCCGAAAAAGGTGGCCTCGCGAGGCAGGAGAAGCCACCACTTGCTCCCTGAGGCCGGCCTTCCAGGTCGGCCCCCTGGTGTCCTTAAATCTGCACTGAGGCCCCACGGCCGTGAGCCAGTGGTAGCCAAACCTAAGCACAAGCGGGCGGATTATCGTCGCTGGAAACTTTCGGCAGAGGCGTCTTACGAAGAGGCCCTCAGGAGGGCGAGGAGGAACCGGAGAGAAGCCGCCGGCGTCTACTCCCAGGTTCCCCACCCTTACAACAGCCCGTATGCCTACATGGCTAGCGATTCGGAATATTCGGCGGAATGCGAATCCCTTTTCCATTCCACGGTGGTGGACACGAGCGAGGATGAAAAAAGTAACTATACCACCAACTGCTTTGGGGACAGCGAGTCTAGCTTGAGCGGGGTGGAGTTTGTGGGGGAAAGCACGACAACCAGTGACTCGGATGAGAGCGGGGGATTTATTTGGTCCCAGTTCGTCCAGACGCTTCCCATCCAGGCAGTGGCCGCTCCTGAGCTCCATGAAAACGCTGCCAAAACGTTTGTTAAGATCAAAGCTTCGCACAACCTGAAGAAGAAGATTCTGCGCTTTCGGTCTGGGTCTCTCAAACTGATGACCACGGTCTAAATGCATCATGAGTCATAAAAGAGGGACAGGGAGGTTGATGGTAATCACACACCCATGGCTACTGGGAAGACCATGTGTGTGTTTAAAGAGATAATGTGCACCAGGTTTTGGGGAAGATTCTGTGGGGTGTTTGTTCAGCGCACGGAAACCATGCAGGTCATGCCAGGCTATGGCTTCCACATCACCTGAGAAGATGCTTTCTAAGTACAGGATCCTTTAACTTGCAAGAAGTAGGGTTTCAGAGTCATTCGTGCTGACAGCAGCCTTTTCAGGTGACCCACGGCATGCGCGTTGAGGGCAATGAGCACAACAAGACCCTGTGCAGCTGTTGAGTGAAGGTGGCAAACCTTTCTCGCTGCCCTTGAGTGTCAGAATAGGGAGCCTCTGACCATTTTAGAATCCCAGTTTGGCCCATTGGGATTCCCCCGATGGCCATGCCCTTGACACCACTGATGGTTGATCTCTTGGCTTTGAAATATGGCCTCCTCTTGGCAGCTGCCAACTGGAAAGACCAGCTGGGTACTTTTTGGGCGGATAGATTAGGCTTGAGGGCAAGTGTGCCATTTTGCTGCTTGACATGGGTAACTAGGTATATGCTGTTGGTGCTTGTCGGTGCTGGAATTTTCAGATATTTTCTGGATGACATACCCTGTAGTTCTCCATTCTGGGAAACCTACTTGATTTACACACACCTTGCAGACACCTAAATGTGGCTCGCCTAGGAGAGAAGGCCTAAACAGGAAGGTTCTGAGGCTTAGCGAGGCCACACTCCACCCAAGCTCTTGTTCCCGCCCCAGCGTTGTTCTTTCTGAACTGAAATCTGGGTGGAGCTGACCTTCTGAGCCACCCAGCTGAGGACCTTTCTCACAGCTGAGCTACATTATGGTGCCTGTCAGGTGTGTGTAAGTCAGCTAGAACTCCCGGAATGGGGAATTATGGGAAATCCAAAGAATTTCCTCGCTAGGTGCTTCAAACTTGCAGGGGTATATGGCGTTAGACTGTAAGCAGCTCTGTGGTGAAGCTGGTACTCTAACCAAGATAACTCAAGGCCAGGCCACATTTATGATAAATGCAGCGTTCCATGTTGTGTGATTCTTCTCTTAAAAAACAAAACTGAATTGCATACGTGTGGGATGGCTGATCAGGAAGGTTTCACCCAGCTCTCTTCTAGCCCTGAGGAGAATCTCACCCCCGTCCTTTCTCCTTGTCATGGAAGTAAGATGCTGTGACAGCACCTTCCCTCCTTGCTACATGTGGAACATGGCCTGTTTGTGCCAAATCAAGGGACCCTTCCTCTCCCATGGCAGTTCCGAGCCTGATGGTGCCTTCCTTGCATCAGCTATTTTTTTTTTTGGCGGGGGGGACGTTTCGAAAACATAAGAGCAATCTGCATTGACTATAATGTGTCATTTGGCCTTGGTGGACTCAGAGTAGGGAATCCTAAATCACGGCAACGGGAAGGCTGCACCTCCTACGGAAAGTTGCTCTTCTGGACTACAGTTCCCAGAATTCCTAACCGGCCTGGCTGGCCGAAGATTTGCAAACGTATAAAATGTTTACGGTCTCACCTAACTGTGCCTGCCTGCCTTGGTTGCCTGTGGCATGTCAAGAGCCTTACAAGCAATACCCTCTGGTTTACAAACATTTACTGGGTCACTTAAGACCCCCGTTCTGAAGCTTGCCATAAGCTGCTGCTGGACAGGTAGCAATTCTCAAGTAGCAATAAGATCAACAATTGTCTTGCCCTGTGCCCTCGGTAGACAACTTCAAACTTGCAGGGGTTGTTGAATTGCAACTCCCGGAATCCCTAACAGACCTAGTACTAGGGGATTATGGGATGTGCAAGGCCAGCAACATCTGGAAGGCAGTAATTGCCCACCCCTGTTCTATGCAGAACCTTTTCTTGGTTTCTGCTGCTGCTGCTTCTCTTTCAAGCTGTGCACTAATTTGCAAAAACAACTCTCTCTGGCCGGCGTGCTCTCGGTGGGCCTGCATGGGCTCAAGCGCACAGTTCCCTACTTAAACAAGGTGCTTTTTGTAAATAACTCCCTCCTCCCCTGAATGCTGTTTTGTTGTTCAATGTACATAATTACATTTTAAAGGGACGGCTTAAACAATGCCACTTGAACTTCCAAATGTTGTAAGGTTGATACTAGTGCCTTTACAGTGGCAAAACAAAGACCATTCTGCTAGTTTTGGGGAAAAAAACAAAGGAATTAAGAACACCTCTCTCCAACTCTGACCACTTCAGATGCTTCGAAACAGAAGACCTCCAAAGCAGACGTCGGTTATTCTCCTTTTCTTTGACCGGGAATGGATTATGGAAAATTATGTTAATCCTCAGATTTGGTTTCAATGAATTCTTCATTTATGTGCGGAAATATGCTGCGTTCACACGAGTGGGGATTGGCAAAAAGACCAATAGATGGTTTGGACCTGGGCAAAGTGACTTCAGTCTTGCATATCTTGGTTCATTTTAATTTATTAATTCTTAACAACTGATGGCCCCACAGTCCTATTCTGTAATTTACATCTTTGTAAAGCTAGTGATATCAGGGATGATTTTTAAAACAAAATTCCTACTTTTGTCCAAAGGCTTCCACAGCTCCTATATGATTCTTCTCCTTGATGGGAACTGGGGGAGCTTCAAGATGGCAGGAGGAAGTCTTCAATTACAAAAACCATTACTGCTAGTAAGTCATCCCAGTAGTGGCAGTTGTTGGTAATTAAAGACTTCCTCCTCTAATCCCAAAACTCGATGTTGAAAGGGATTACACAGGAGCTGTGGGAACCTCAGGACAGGAGTAAGAAATATTTAGTTCCCAAAAAATCACCGCTGCCAATGACATAATCACCCTGGGGTGACTGATTTCAGTTGCTGTTTTAAATTTACAATGCAACATTTTCAGGATCACGTGGGAACATAGGATACAAACAACCTACCTTTACAGCAAAGATAGGTTATTTGTGAGTCTAGCCTCTCTTATAGTGCAGCTCTGTGTCTTCCCCAGAGAAAGGCTTCCTCAATATTTTATATCTCTTTTTTTTAAACTGGAGATGATTGGTATTGAACCTGGGGTCATCAGTACGCAAAACTGAACGGTGACTGTAAGAATGTAAGGCCAGGTGTAGATAAAAAAAACAGCATAGAATGACTTCTGGTCTCCTCCATTTACCATTGCTGCTTACAGGAACACTGTTGCAGGTTCTGGGGTAGTCACAAAACCAAAATAGAAGAAAACAGTTTGGAAGTAGACACTCTGGAGTGTGCCAGGAGCTACTCTATGATACAGGAGGGAAATGCTGCAAATGAGGAAATAGCTTGACGATTAGGTTTTTGCGATCGCAAAACGATGTTTTAAATGGGTTTTTTTTTCCTTATTATTATAATATGCCATCAAGTCAGTTCTGACTTATGGCAACCCTTTTCACTGTTTTCTAGGACAACAATACTCAGAAGTGCTTTACCCTTCCCTTCCTCTAGGGGCATCCTTGGGACTGTGCAGCTTGCCCAAGGCCACCCAGGCTGGCTCTTCTCCTAGGAGGCTTAGTGGGGAATTGAATGCCCAACCTCTGGCTCTACAGCCAGTTACTTAAACCACGGAGTTCTCTAGCCAACTAAGAATGATGTGCCATCAAGTCAATTCTGAACTTACAGCGACCCTTTTCAGGGCTTCCAGGTAGAGAATACTCAGAAGTGGTTGACCGTTCCCTTCTTCTGAGGGAGCCCTGGGACTGTGCAGTTTTCCCAAGGCCACCCAGGCTGGCTCTTCTCCCGCAAAGCATCAGTTACTTAAACCACGGAGTTCTCTAGCCAACTAAGAATGATGTGCCATCAAGTCAATTCTGAACTTACAGCGACCCTTTTCAGGGCTTCCAGGTAGAGAATACTCAGAAGTGGTTGACCGTTCCCTTCTTCTGAGGGAGCCCTGGGACTGTGCAGTTTTCCCAAGGCCACCCAGGCTGGCTCTTCTCCCGCAAAGCATAGTAGGAAATCAAACTCCCAACCTCTGGCTCTGCAGCCAGATAACTGGACCGCAGCTTTCCCAACCTCTGGCTCTGCAGCCAGATAACTGGACCAGCGAGCAGCTTTCCATCTCTATATTATTTGTACAAATATTTCATAAACAGGAGCTGTGGGATGGTCTTCTAATGCCATGTGATCTTCCCCTTTAAGGAGCTTTGTCGTGAATGGAGACAAGGCAGAAATATAGCCTGGGACTGATCTTAATTTTGACTAGTAACTCTGTTCATTTCAATAGGTTGACTCTGTGTTTCATGTTTTTTTAAGAAACAACAGGTTCTAGCGCCCATTATGAGACCAATATATTGACAGTGTGTGAAACACTAGAGGAAGACTGGATATGGTACACCTCTAGAGGAAATAATTCAATAATGTCCCTAAATGTTGAACTTTGTCTTTTCAGTTGGAAGGGGATTTTCAAATATTTGATTTCCAGCACAAAGGAGATGCTTTAAACACACACACGCACACAATTTAAACTGTAATGTTTGGCATCAGTTTGGCAAATTGCTTTAGGGTTTTGTTTGTGTTGTATTTGATTCTACAAACCTAATTCTAGCACTGGGAAATGTTAAAATGCCAAGAAGAAAACATGTTTGCTCCTTGTTAACACACACACACCCTTCAGTTTTGCGCATTGTGTGTTTTAAATCTACGGATCTGGATAATTAGCTTTTACATGTGGGTGGTTGTTTGAAGAAGATAATTCAGAGGTCCTTCTCTTTACCCCCATTGCCTTTGTTTGCTTCATTTTGAACCAAGATAGTTGCATAGGGGCTTTTAGAGCTGAGATTTCCAGCCTCTCCATCAGGGTGGGCAACTTGGTGCGCCCTGGACTACAATTCCATGTTGGTCAATCCCTGTGTCGTAACAGTTGGGCGTGATGGGAGTTGTAGTCCAAGACATCAAGATGGTCCAAGAGATGGTTTGCCATTGCTCTACATGCCTCGTAACCACGATGAGGATTAAATCATAATGGGAACTATATTGCAAAGCCATTTAATTATTATCGCGTGATTCTGTGCACACTATTAGGTGCAATCTGGATATGTAGACTTCCAGATTTATGCCAAGTGGGCTCACTTTTCCCAGCTTAACTGCTGGTGTTTTAAAAATGTCCAGGCATCCTTTGCTTTTTCATCCTGTAAAATTGAAAAACTTTCTTAAGTGTAAAACGGGTCAGTTGTTCGGAGAAAGAAGGGCTTTAATCACACGGTTGTACACATTTGCACTCTTGAGTAAGTCCTATTGAGTTCAATGGGGTTGATAATCCCCCATTAGCATCTCTGCCACCCTAGCCCTGAACCAGCTTGAAGAGAGAAGAGTTTAAGAGTTGACCAAGGAGCACCTTTGATACATTTCATGTAGAAACATCTGGAGTTGCCATTTGTATGACAGCAATAGTCATATAGAAAGACCTTGGGCAGGTTACCTGTTGGACTACACCTCCTGGACACTCCCTCTATCCAGCACGGGCATGCTGGGTAGCAGATTCTGGGTGTTGTGGTTCCAGAAAGTAACTTTCCCAAGATTGACATCTTGGGTTCCTTAGTGCAATGGTCCCTAACCTTGGGCCTCCAGATGTTCTTGTACTGCAATTCCCAGAAGCCTTCAGTACCATCTCTGCTGGCCAGGATTTCTGGGAGTTGAAGTCCAAGAACATCTGGAGGCCCAAAGTTGGGGACCACTGCCTTAGTGCAATGGTTAATTTGGTCATGACGGGAATGGTAGTTTCTGCAGCTCCTATTGAACAGTAAACTTCCAAGTCTTGACCATGTGTCGTGAGATTAGGGAAGGCCATCTCCCCTCTCTTGCTTCTTGGTTGGTGATCTGGTTCCATTATGCAGACACCGTCATCCTGTCTACCGTAAGAACGTAAGAAGGATCCTGCTGGATTGATCCCAAGCCCTGTCTGTTCTGACATCTAGCTTCTCACAGTGTCACACCAGACATTTATGGGTGTCTGCACAGGACATTAGCTCCTTTCCTCATTGTGTTATTGTGTCAACAGGTCTTAAGAGGCAAACTATCTCTCTGAGAGTATTGGAGGTGGTACCTGTGTAGTTAGCCACCATGACCAGGAGACCTTGATGGCTTTATCTTCCATAAATTTGTATTATTTAATTGCTGGATAGCTCAGTAGTTTAAGTAAGGTTGGGCGTTTGGTGCCCCACTTGTGCGTCCTTGACTGGGGTCGAGACTCGATGATCCATAAGGTCTGTTCCTGCTCTGCAGTTCTAAAATTATTCTAATCTCCTTTTGAAGTGATCTCAGTTGGTGCCACTGAAATATCTTGGGAGAGGCGAGAATCCTAGACCAATGTGCTAGGAGAAGAAATGCTACCTTTTGTCTTTATTAACAGTTGATTACCCTTTTCTTCATCATTTCTAGATTTACTACAATATTCTTTTTGAGTGGCAGCAACCAGGAAAAAATACGCGATATTTTAAACGGAAAGTTGTCCTGGCCATTTCCTTTAAACTCTGGTAGAACCTGAGAGGGTTGTTTTTTGAATATATTGTGTAATAGTTGTTTTCTTAAAACCCACACAAATATGCATGTTAAAAGCATGAGCGTCAAATTGTGTTAATAGTTCTGTTGGTGTCCTATAATTGTACATCATAAGCACCTGTGTTTTATATCTATATAAATATATATATATAAAAATCATATCACTTTGTAAATTAATATAATGCATCAATATGCTGTAATAAACACTTGTCTTTTAATCCTGTGTCGTGAGTGATGCATTTATCAACAGCCCTAGTTTTATTTATTTATTTATTTTAAGAGCAAAATTGTCATCATACGGTCCATCTGGAGAACAGTCCTATTGTGATATCAAAAGAGATGCAGAGGATGAGAAACCATTGAACGTAAAGCCCACTTGGACCTGTGACCACAAGGTGGGAAGAGGATGATGGGAAGGTAGACCCACTGAGTGTCTCCAGGACTGTTGTGTTTTCACTGCATTGAAGTATGTTTGGACAATGCAAAGCTTCCCCTGATCTCTATAGACTTACGCCCAGAATACCCTCTCTTTGTTCACTCCATTGCAGTAGAGCGGTAACAGATGGACCTTTCCACATCTACATAGAGGAGACTCCTCTTCTACTCAAGGAGACGACCTTCACAATTCCATGCCCCTCTGGCTCTCCTAGAGACCATGGGATC